AAGCCTCTAATCAAAAGTGATTAAATTGGACGGTGTTCGAGGTATTGCATTTTGCATTATTCGCCGGATTGATGAATACCATTCCAGTACAGTCTTTTCACTTTTACATATATAACGATATATTCGACCTGAAAAGTAGTACTAACTTTGAAGCTTCAGTCAATTGTAATTCACAGCATCATCCTCTACCTATGCAGCTGGAAATTTTTCAGTTGCTTTAACCAGTGCTGCTTCACCTGGTAGTCAGCGTACTGGCAATCCTGACGTTCGTTTCGTTCCCCGAAGGGAATAACAACGCAGTGGTTTTCCCTGCAGAAACATTTTAACAAAAAAAATAAATGGTACGCGCACCAGACTAGCCGGTGCGATCATGCGTTTTGTGCAATTCAGTCCATCGAACGATTGTCTGTTAATGATTTTCAATGCTTTGCACCTTAGTCTATGCAAAAACAGTTCAAACATTGGAAAACAGAAATTTCACGCGCCAGCGTATGAAAGATGAATTCGAAACCTTGAAGGATGAATATCTTTCCGGGGCCGTACGCGTTACCCGCGGGTACGGAGAAGCTGAATTTAAATTTGCGGGGTTACACGTGGGTGGGGAACGTTACCCTAAATTTTCAGCTTCCTAGCTTTTGTGGTTTTCGAGTTGAAAGTTGCGGACAAGTTGCTGCGGACACACACACAGACATCTCCGTGACAATATGCGCTTTGTACTACTGTTACACAGCACAAAACGCATAAAAAACGAGAGCTAATTTGAAGGCTTATTTTTCCTCTCATATCTTCAGGAAGTTTTAAAAAATTTCTTGAAAGTTAATTGTATTTCACTACAGTCGTCGTAATAGCGAGGTTCAGTTGTGGCGCTACAAAAATGTACACGACTTACGGAGCGGAATATTGCTTTCCTATTTGCTTTAAACTTTCTTTTGTGTTTTAATAAAGACAATCCCCCTTTTTTCCCCGCTTCATTTTTTATAACATTTAACCTTTTTTATAGTCATTTCAATTTTAAAGAGAAAAAATGTCGTAATTTTTTTAAAAACAGTCCTCTATGGCACAAAGATGAAAAAAGAAAATGAATGGAATATGAAGTGGATGAGTGAACTAATTATAAATAATTGGTCAACGCACGGGAAGCCAGTGCGACGATGCGTTTTTTGCATAGTTCCCCGCAGTTTTTGTGTTGGTTTTCTTGGCAAATGCTTCTAGCTAAACAAATTAGGACTGGTCGCTAGAACTATCAGAAAACACTCCCTAAAAATTTCAGCTTTTTAGCTTTCCTGGCTCCTGAGTTAGCAACCTACTGAAAAAAATTTTTCACGGGCCCGTGCGTGTTTACCACGCATACCCGAGTTGAATTTGAGCTGAATGAAATTCAGGTGGACGGGGTATATCCTCTTAAAATAACAGTCAATTAGCTTCTCAGGTACTCGAGTTATCAACTCACCCGAAAAAAAATTTGGCGGGCCCGTATGTGGGTACAACGCTTACGCGGGGGTTGAGTTTGAGCTCACTAATACCCACTTGGATGAGGAACATCACCCTTCAGCTTTCTAGCTTCTCAGATCCCCGAGTTATGAACTTACCCGAAAAAAACTTTGGCGGGCTCGTACGTGAATACCACGCTGGTATTGGCGCCCATTTGGGGATTGGGGCCCGTACGTGCATGTAGATTAAGTTCCCAATGTTTCAGCCCTGTAGCTTTTGTAAGTCTTGAGATGAAAAACCGTGC